AAAACATAGAGAATATTGAGAGTAGAGAGTGGAAAGTGTAGAGAGAATGAGAGTTGTAGAATATTTTCTGATTTTTCACTTATGTTTCATTCCTTACAATCAACACATATATATACAAGTTCCTAAGACATTAGTCAAGCCCCCCAAGTTAGGCAACCAACCAAGTTAGGCAACCAAACTAATTAGGCAACCAACCTAGTCAAGCCCCCCAAATATTGTAGGTGCCAAACATTAATTGACTACATAATTAACACATTAATTTACTACATAATTAACACATTAATTGACTAAACATTGTAGGCTACCAACCATTGTAGGTGCCAAACTAATCCTCATTAATTGACTATTGCTAACAGTCTACACATATATCTTGAGCAGTGGTGGATTCAAGATTGTCGCTTCATGGGTCATAGTGTAAAAGTTTCAATTTTTTTTTTTGGACCATATTTAGAGGTTGTGTTGTTATGTATAAATTTGAGCTCTAAAAGTTTACATACCATATGGGTAATTTCCTTTAAAATTTCCTTACGGAGAGGAGCTATAGTGTAAATATTATATGTACTTGCTAAGGTGAAAAGGACAATTTCAATGTAAAAAATAAAAAATCCTTGAAGTTGTATTTTGTTGCATTTAAAAGCACATACCAGTCCCCTACAAAGAACTGCATTAATCAGTTATGTGATAGGAAATTTGAATAGAGATCATTTCTTCAAGTCTTGAGTCGAGCTAGGTAAAACAGAAAGAAAGGGGGAAAATACATAGATGCATTTCTGTGGCAATACAAGGAAAAAAAAAAAGAAGACTCAGAGAGCTCCAATGATGGGATGCAATCAATTTATTGAGCACCATACAGTCCTGATCAGTTCCCCCCACCCAAAAGAAAAGAAAAGGAAAAAAAAAATCAGATTCTGCTGACACCTACAGATATGCCACTTCCACCAGATTCTGCTGGGGGTACAAAGTCGGCTGGAAGAAGAATAGCTTTATTAGAGTAAATGCGAATGTAATAGATAAGAGAGTGCATTATTCAAACAGCTACCTAAAGCCGGATCTCTTAATTGTGTTGTAATATTAATGCCTAACATGATATTTACATAGGAGAAACTCCCAATGGTCTACAAATAGTAATTAGAAGAAGCTCAGAACAGTGTAAACTTACCAGGATCTACAGAAATAGCTGATATAAGAGGACCATAAACTCCTCTAAGAGGGATACCAGTCGTCCCTTTCCCAGCCCAATAGAATCGGATCTCCAAGGTACCACTAGTTACAGAAGCATTAAAGTTCTTTATGACTGCTTTACCAACCACACCAGCTTCATCCGCAATATTGAAATCCTTCAGCCGTTTTATCCCCTCAAATATGCTAATGTAGTTACTTAAACATTTCATGATCGAAATGTGGTTTATTTTTTCAGCCTTGACTGCTACCTATTTTACATGTTATTACTAGAAATTCATTAACATTTGAATTAACCAGGAACTAAACCGTGTCTGTTGACCTTTACCTGAATGTAAACATCAAATATACGCCTTCCCAGGCTTTTATATGTTTTTCCATTTGTAAACCGTGTCTCTGCAAAATGGAGGTTTACAGTGTAGTTTCCATATCCCAGACAAAACCTATAATAAGTTAGAGAGATGGGAGAAAGGCGTGCTTACGTGTACAGTTGTGGATTGGGCATGGAGAGTATAGATTCATTATTTTGGATAAAGGTGTCTTGAGGATGGTTATCGTCAGGAAAGTAACCAGTGCTGCTTAAAGCCCAATTTGTTGTGCTGTAATGGTCTTCTTTCACGTAGTACTTTTCCTTTTGGATCATACAAGCCTCCAGCTCCCCCCCAAAAAAAAAAAATCAAAGATAAATAAATTTATCTTGAAGCATTTTGCAGTTCTGAAACACGAAACAGTTTTTCTGGTAGGATAATGCAGGATCCAGAAGAAGTCAGCAAGATAACATCATAAATGAAAATAAGTTGTAAAATAAAAATAAGAATACTCAGAAGAAGTCATGCTTTCAGAGGATTAATTTGTAAGAACTATTGCCCTTTGAAGAGCTTGCAAACAAGTTCTTGTAGAAATTAACACATATTGAAAATTTAAGTTTTCTCTACAAGACACAAACAAGGTAAACTCAAGCTAATGAAAACATTCTTACAAGCTGCCTTGTGATTGACAACCTTTGTCCCCTATGGTGAAGTTATTATATGAAAGATCACTGCACAAAAAGGGCTGTTACGTAAATTCCTTTCCAAATGCAGTATGAGAACGGAAAATAAAATGAGGAGCAAGAGGTAGGTATTAACATGGTTGGACTGAAGTTTTGAAATCATAGTTTATATCAATTCTAGAAAGATTTAATTCTGAAAATCCAATATTAAAACAATCAACCAAACTTCATGAGATGAAAAATATTAGCTACTTTCACTATTCATAGTCATAATTGCCTAAGCTCTCACAACTGTCCATGTTAAGCCAAGTTCACCTTAAAATTTCCTCGTACTCAATTTGGTCAAGCTACCTGCATCTCATAACATATAGTATACCAAGATGATAATGGTCCACCCCAAGACCTTTATCATTTAATTTCGGGATGCTCTCTTCCCTTGGAACTACCTTCTATGTTGATTAGGTCAATCTCCCCAACTTAATTATGCATCTACTAAACATTGTTGAATATGTCGAATCCTATCCTTCCTTTCAAAACTTCAAAATCTTACATGAAAAGGAAACATTTTAGGATACTTTCAAAACTTCAAAATATTAATATCAGTGATCATGAGAAAATAAAGAATTAATGCCTATTTCATGAGTATAATTGTAAGTGAAGCTCCAATATGAAAAGTCATGTTAACGCATGTACGCTGCTTTATCCAGTATTAGACATCAAAAATTTCCTTACTAAGTAACTAAATATTAGCATTTGGAAGAGAAGCTTACAGGTTTTCCTTTGTCCAAGTAGGCACGGGTCCAGTCAGCAAGTTTCCAGTTAAGAAACTAAATAAAACCTTTCCGGGTATAAGGTAAGTGTCAAATATATGCCATGATCTAGAAAGAAGATCATGTGTGTGACTAAGCTGATTACTTAACAAACTTGTAATCTCGTATGTAATCAACCAAGCTCAAAGAATTTAGGTTAGTTTAAGTATGCATTCCAAATGATTACAGAAATTGAAATCAACTTCGTCATGGCTCAAATAGAATCAAGATTCTTGAAGGTAAAAATTGTAACTAAATGTTAGCATTTGGAAGAGAAGCTTACAGGTTTTCCTTTGTCCAAGTAGGCACGGGTCCAGTCAGCAAGTTTCCAGTTAAGAAACTAAACATAATTGATGCAGGAAAAAGGGCATAAATTACTAGAAGGGGGTAGAATTACTAGATAATATATATCTTCAGTTGTTTGCTTGAGTATTAACGAATTAAAAAAAAAATTCATTATTTATATAGTAAGCATGATTAACACGTCCAGCTTGTAGGGCTGGGATGTGACAAAACCATTGAAGAATGTCGGCTTGAGTTTTCTTGTAAGAAAGTGAAGATTTGTTATTCAAATTGCTTACATATAATCCACTTTTGCTAGAGCAACAAAGATGCTTGTTAAAGCTGAGGTCTCTGCACAAACCAATAACAAATGCATTTCAGATATATATATATATGCTCCCCTAGAGAAAGACGTTATTTAAATTAAAAATAATAATAAAACCTTTCCAGGAATAAGGTAAGTGTCAAATATATGCCATGATCTAGAAAGAAGATCATGTGTGTGACTACGCTGATTTTTAACAAACTTGTAATCTCGTATATGTAATCAATCAAGCTCAAAGAATTTAGGTTAGTTTAAGTATGCATTCCAAATGATTACGGAAATTGAAATCAACTTTGTCATGGCTCAAATAGAATCAAGATTCTTGAAGGTAAAAATTGTACCTTGTATTCTCACGTGGGTCCAACCTTTGTCAGCTGTGAACTTTCTGTTCTAATGTTCTTTGTCTTATTGTGAAGCCAATGTTTGGCTGCCAGCTGGGGAAATTTAAGGCAGACTTCTTTTTGGGCAGAAAGGGGTGCTACAACATTGAGAGAAAATTTGACAGCTTCTTCCTCCGCATTTTCTTCTTATAAGAGGTCTGCATTTTGCATTGTGAGATTTTGACAAGTGGTTTTTAAAATCTACTTTGATCTTTAAAATCTGCTTTGAGTTGTTGAATGTGCATTTTCTCTTGGAATTTAGATTTCTGAAGTTACAGAAAAAAGGGCTATTGTCCATTTGGGGTCGTTGGATTGGAGCTTTGGAAGAGCCAAAGATGACTTATTCTTATCTCCTGTAGCTGTCCAAGCCGAATCTGCTAGTTCATGCCTTCCAACACTCATATTGATATTGCCTAACAAGTTCAAAACCACATTGTTTTGTAGCGGAATGCTGATTTCCACCATTCTCTTTCAATATGAAACCTCCTTATGGGGTTTTGTGAAAACACCAAAAACGTACAAGGCAATCTACGTCCATCATTTTCCGTCCAGTATGGCTTCAAATAATGTACAAGGCAAGATATGTGACTCCGAAGACTCTCAGGTCTTTATATGAAAAGTCATGTTGGTCCACACATGTCCGGACGTTAATTTCTTCTTTTATGCTTTTCCAATTTTTTGGGTTTACAAAAGACTTAGTCTGAAGTCTTTGCATGCCATTCATATTTAGCTTACTTGTGGACAAACATTCATTTTCTTTTTTTCCTTCATTTTTTTTTTCCACAAACGTTGATGGTTTGTCTCCTTTTGTAAATCGTTTAACGAACAAAAAGAAAATCAAGTCTACACATATATCTTGAGCAGTGGCGGATCCAAGATTGTCACTTCATGGGTCATAGTGTAAAAGTTTCAAATTTATTTTTGACCATATTTAGAGGTTGTGTTGTTGTGTATAAATTTGAGCTCTAAAAGTTTACATACCATATGGGTAATTTCCTTTAAAATTTCCTTACGGAGAGGAGCTATAGTGTAAATATTATATGTTTGCTAAGGTGAAAAGGACAATTTCAATGTAAAAAATAAAAATCCTTGAAGTTGTATTTTGTTGCATTTAAAAGCACATACCAGTCCCCTACAAAGAACTGTATTAATCAGTTATGTGATAGGAAATTTGAATAGAGATCATTTCTTCAAGTCTTGAGTCGAACTAGGTAAAACAGAAAGAAAGGTGGAAAATACATATAGATGCATTTCTGTGGCAATACAAGGAAAAAAAATATGAAGACTCAGAGAGCTCCAATGATGGGATGCAATCAATTTATTGAGCACCATACAGTCCTGATCAGTTCCCCCCACCCAAAAGAAAAGAAAAGGAAAAAAAAATCAGAAGAAGCAGCACCCTGCAGAACTGAAGATGGATCTCTTAATTGTGTCCAAATATTAATGCCTAACATGATATTTACATATGAGAAACTCCCAATGGTATACAAATAGTAATTAGAAATCATAACAGTGTAAACTTACCAGGATCTACAGATATAGCTGATATAAGAGGACCATAAACTCCTCTAACAGGGATACCGGTCGTCCCTTTCCCAGTCCAATAGAAACGGATCTCCAAGGTACCACTAGTTACAGGAGCAGTATAGTTCTTTATGACTAGAGTACTAATCCCACCACACCAGCTGCATCCACAATATTGAAATCCTCCTACACTAGTCTCCCCTGCCATATACTAGTTTTGTTACTTAAAATTTTGTTGAAAAATATAAGTTCCACATCGAAACTTGAACTAAATAAAATACAACTTATAAAGAGTGGTTCCACTACTAATATCACCTAGGCTTTTTGTGATAAAACCTCATATTTATTGGGTTTTATATGTAGTTAAGTTGAGGACAATATCGGTGTTGCTATTAGTGGGCTGATGACCCGTCTCTTTGAAATTTAACACATTTCATACTGTAACCCTAACCTGAATGTAAACATCAAATATACGCCTTCCAGGATTTTTTTATGTTTGGTCATTTGTAAATGTTGCCTCTACAAATGGAGGTTTACAGTGTAGTTTCCATTTCCAGACAAAACCCATAATAAGTTAGAGAGGTGGGAGAAAGGCGTGCATCCATGTACAGTTTTGGGTTTGCCATTGAGAGTATAGATTTATTAGTTTGGATAAAGGTGTCTTCAGGACGGTCATCATCAATAAAGTAACTAGTGCTGCTTAAAGCCCAATCTGGTGAGGTTTTGTGAAATGAAGAAGGTCCAGCCCAATCTGTTTGTCCCCATCAAACTTGGATGTCTTTTCTTTCCCCATTAACAGTTAGTCCTTCTCCACCACAATTTATACGGAGTTCGTACCAAGCTACAACGAAAGCAAAAGGGGATTAGTGGCCATAGGAAGAGATTACTTCTTTATCTCTTCTATTTCATTTCAAAGGAACTGTCAGAGGATTAGTCGACATTTTAAGCAGAAGGACTATGGGCATATCTTGAAGCAATATGTGGAAACCCAACTTACTTTGTGGACATTTTGCACTTGTGAAACATGAAACAGTTTTTCTGATAGGAGAATGCAGCAGGATCCAGAAGAAGTCAGCAAGATAACATCATAAATGAAAATAAGTTGTAAAATAAAAATTAAGAATACACAGTTGGAATGCCAAGTAAATTTATCTACGCATATGCTTTCAGAGGATTAATTTGTAACTTACGAACTATTGGCCTCTGAAAAGCTTGCAAACAAGTTCCTGTAGAAATTAACAAAAAATGAAAATTGGTACAAGACACAAACACAGTAAACTCAAGCTAATGAAGACATTCTTACAGGCTGCTGCGTTGTGATTGACATCTTGTGGCCCCTATGGTGAATTTGTTATATGAAAGATCACTGCACAAAAATTTCCAGATGCAGCAGTATGAGAGTAGAAAATAAAATGAGGAGCAGTATGAGAATAGAAAATAAAACTAGCAAAAGGTGCCCACGCGATGCTGCGGGTTTTAAAATTGTGTGAAATGTGTCCCCACTGACCCACATACAAAGAGAAAGACACCATATTTTTCCCTCCAATCAATTATGCATTCTCACTCTCTCCCCACGCTGGGAGTTCTCAAGTACCCAATTGCCAAAACACTCAAAGGATTCACTAACATGCTCAGATATTGTAATCATCTAAACCTATCATTACAACAACAAATTAACACCAATCAATTGTCAATTGATGCCATTAGCTATTTCCTATTCTCTATTCACAAAACTTAAAACAATTAATTGGAATTTCAGCCTAGAAACTCACCCCTTGCTTAAAAGAACTGAAAACACCAACCAAACTGCTATATCCAAAGCAACAAAAGACCACCTGCAAAATATCAAAAGAAAATATGATTTAAAAAAAAGAAGAAAAAGAAAGAAAAAAACAGAAAAATCGGAGAAGAAATTAGCTTGAGTATTTTATACATGCACAATCTTTTCATTAAACCAAAAAATTAGCTTGAGCAAAATTTTTACGGAAAGAAACCACTTAAGACTACCCAAATTAATGTGTTTTGGGTAAAGAAAAACATTGTAAAGGCACAGGAAGAAGACTGTTTAAATGATTCTAGATGCATTTGAAACAAAGAGTATTCGATCAAAAGTTACTGGCCTAAACAATCAAAAGTTACCTATGCAAAACTCACCCTAAACAATCAAAATCCCAAAACAACTATCTCTATATTGTCGTTGTCATCAAAGATTTGAAAATTCTCTCACATAACCTTACACCACCAAAAACGCAAAATCAGTGCTAAACTCAAAGAATAAACACGTTGACTGTAAAGGAACGGAACATAAATGTAGCCTTAAAGCTCGCAACTTGCCTATATAGATGTGAAATAGATATAGATACTAACTAAAGACAGGTGCAATTACCCTTAGAAATCAAGACCTTTCGTTGGAATTTTTTGATCCCACTGTTATGTTTTTTTTTTCTTCTTCCTATTTTGCATTCTCCCACAACATCCAGTAACCAGAGAGAAAAAAAATTGATCTAGAGTTATTTTATTGGTGACTGTAAGCTAAAACATGCATTTAATCCTTAACGATCAGCGGTTTGTTATTAATCTCATATCTTGAAATGTTAATTGTATGGATATGGTTTTGTATGCTTTTCAACATCTTATTGATATTTTCTTTTTTAGTTTGAAACAGGTTAGTCAATGTGATATGTACATCTATTTATGGTTGAAAGAGCCAATAAAAAAATATCTCCCATCCCCCAACAATTCCAACAAAAGGCAAAACCAGCTTTTTTTTTTTTGGTTGAATCTGGAGCTCTGATACCAACTGTCACGGGATGACTTTTTCGGAGTCTTCCTTTCGTGCGGCCTTAGACTTGATCGCCTCTCGAACAAGCTAAGCAGCCTTCCTTCCCACAATCTAAGATCGAAAATATTTAGTTATGCTCAGATACGCTCATATTATTATTCTTCTCCAATATAGAGGTATTTATACAAGTACAAAGATGTGTTAACCCTAAATAAAATAGGAAATATATCTAAATTACAATATGAAGTAAATCTCTATTACAATAGGACTAATAATGATTGGTAAGTAACCAAAATTCTAATGAAATAAGGAACCAAAATCTTAACTAAGTAAAGACTCGTCAACACTCCCCCTCAAGTTGGGCAAAGATATTTCGCACGCCCAACTTGACAAGCGAGTCATAGAACACCATACTTGAGAAGCACCAATTGTAGAGAATGTCTTTTCGTCAACCACGAGTGAAACAAGTGACAAACTAAAGCAAAGTTTGCAGCGGAAACACAAGAGCAAACTCTAAAAAATAGGGCACATAGCAAAACACAGAAACCCTGTGAGCACGGCAGCAGATATGGCAGAACACAGAAACCCTGTGAGCACGGCAATAGATAAGGCAGAACACAGAAGCCCTGTGAGCACGGCAGTAGATAAGGCAGAACACAAGCCCTGTGAGCACGGCAGTAAATAAGGCAGAAACCAAACCCTAAAAATAGGGTAAGGCAAGGCATGGCAAAGAACCCTAAAAATATGGTAAGGCACGACAAAGGTAAAGCCTTACCCTAAAAATAGGGTAAGGCAAGGCATGGTAAGGCAAAGCCAAACCCTAACAAATATGGTAAGGCAAAGCCAAACCCTAACAAATAGGGTAAGGCAAGGCAAAGAAAGGCAAAGCCAAAGGCAAGGTCAACGGGCATGACCACAAGGGAAACACACCAGCAAAGGCATGAGCAACAATACTGGCACCAACAAGAGTAATAAGGCAGAGACATAACAGGCATCATCAACAGCAATACAAGGCATTGGCACCAGCAACAACAGAGACAACTTCTCTTCACTCCCCTTCTCCCCCCTGAAGAGAAGGGGTCGATGGAGCCATATGATCAATGGTACTTGAGAAACATGCACTGACTAACAAAGAGGTCGTCGAAGTCAAGAAATAAGCAACATCTTCATGGGAATACGTCAAGGTAATGGGGATACGTCAATAAACATATCATTTTCACTTCCCCTCCCCCTGAAGAGAAGGGGTCGATGAAGCCATATGATCAATGGTACTTGAGAAACATGCATTGACTAACACTGAGATGTAGCAGAATCAGCCATGGCAGATAGGTGGTTAAATTGCAGCGGAATAGATGAGCAGCGGTGTCACTCCCCCTCAAATCCGACGATGTATGAGAGTTGAGATTTGGAAAAAGTAACACCCAAATAAAGTTGCAACACTCCCCCTCAAATCCGACACTGGTAAAGGGTCGAGATTTGGAAGAAGAGAAATTGAAATAATAGTAAAGAGACTTAAACATGCCAATCTCGTGGCAGAAACAAATGCAAGAGGGGAAGGTGGTAGCATGCGGTTGTCCCATGAAGAAAAAACTTCAGAAAAGGAGAATAGTAAGGGAGGAAACCCAGCAAATCATGAACAGAGACAAAAACAAAGATAAGGTGCTCAAACGGGAATTAGAGCAAAGAGAGCAACAGAGAAAGGGTGCTCAAAACTGAGAAGCGGAAAGGCAACTCAAGAGAGTTGCCGAAGAAGACAAAGACCGGTAGAACAGTCAAAGGAAAGGCTCGGCGAGTGGTGACGAGGCTCGCAGAGGAAAGCAACGGCTCGGTGAGCAGTGACGAGGCTCACAGAGGAAAGCAACGGCTCGATGAGTGGTGACGAGGCTCAAGGGGTAAAGAGACTTGTTATGAAGTTTCAAAGATAGAGAAGCTGAGACATCAAGAAAGACCATCTGGCATACAAAGATGAAAAAATAAAATTTTTGGAACAGTAGCAAAGAAGCATGTGAAGGCTAGGTGC